CAAGTTTCACTACAAACGACCACATTTCCAGAAAAACGAGGCAAAAGTTACCTTCATGCTGGCGTCTAAATCAGTTGCTAAATAATCAACACTGTTCCAGACTGCTTGGCTTCATTTGAACCCTTTGGGATTACCACGACCTGGACTGGGAACCTTCACCGGCATATTAGGTTTAACTATCATCCTCGACTCCTCACTATCCTTTCAGTCCCACATAAACAATATTACCCGGTCTGCCTACTTCCATCTACGTAACATTAACCGCCTACGCCCCGCCCTCACTACTCACTCGGTCGTCATCCTTGTCCACAGACTCATCACTTCCTGTATTGACTACTGCAACTCTCTTCTCTTCGGTCTTCCTCACAAATCCCTCCATAAACTCCAACTTCATTACCAGAACTCCCTCCTTCCACCACATCACCCCTGTTCTTCAGCAACTCCACTGGCTCCCAGTCACTTCCAGAATCCAATTCAAAATTCTGCTATATACATTCAAAGCCATCCATAACCTAGCTCCACCGTACCTCTCAGACCTCCTTCATCCTTCAACCTCCACCCGTTCCCTCAGGTCCTCCTCCTCCATCCACCTCTCTGTCCCACCTTTCCGTCTGGTCACTATGGGGAGCAGGGCCTTCAGTCGCTCTGCTCCCCAGCTCTGGAACTCCCTCCCTCCTGACCTCCGTAACACTGACTCCCTCACTCTCTTTAAAACCAGACTCAGAACCCACCTGTTCCGTCTAGCATTCCAATAATTACTCTCTTAGCTCCGATCTGTTTTATGCTGTCCGTCTTTTATTGTTGTGTATTTTATCTCTGTCTGTAAAGTGTCCTTGAGTGTTTAGAAAGGCGCTGTTGAAATAAAATGTATTAATATTATTACTATCAGCTCACAACTCAGCAAACATCTAAACACGTTTAGTCCCTTTGGTGCAGCTTTGAGACATAAAAGGTTCTGGCACCGTCTGACTTCCTGGTTCTGATGGGTGGATCCTGTTCTCGTTACAGGTCAGTGAGGGTCTGAGTAATCACCTGGCTTAGACTTTTTATGTAATTCTGTTTGGTCTCGCAGCAGCGGCTCAGGAGGCAGAGCGGGTTGTGCAGTAATCAGAAGGTTGCAGGTACGATCCCGGCTCCCATCAGAAAACGCTGCTGTTGTGTCCTAGGGCAAGACACTTGGAGGGGCCGGTGGTGCCTGTGCTCGGCAGCCTCGCCTCTGTCTGTGCGCCCCGGGGCATCGTAGTTCATCCCCACCGGCGTGTGAATGATTGGTTGAGTTGTGAAGTGCCTTGGGGAGCTGTAGAACCCTAAAAAGGTGATTTGCAGATACAGTTTCTGCTGGAGTACACAAACCTCCAGACCTTTCTGAGGACCACAAATGGCCCACGAGCCACACTTTGGGAGGCCCAACATTTCAGTTACCAGCTTCCCCCCCCCCCCCCCCCCCCCCCCCCCCCCCCCCCCCGTTTCCATAGCTCGTTAAGGTCCACGCGTTTGCATCGGCCCGACAATAAGAGGACGAGTGAAACCGGGAGGAAATCCTCCGGAGAGCCCAAATGAATACTGAATCATTGCTGCTTTTCCTTCCCCCGCAGCGCTGTTCTTTACTCTGCAGATACGTTTAAATGACACCATTCAGGAACAACGTTCAGATGGTATTCCATAAACTAACGAACCGTCCCCAGACCCGGTGAGGAAAAACGGATCAAAGTTCTCCTGAATGTGGCGCTCCAGTCCTGCACTCTCAGAAATGATCCGTGGAGGTTTATGTCAGCTGGCTCCGATAAAAACCTGTCTTATTTAAACTAAAGCTGTTTAGTAAATCCACTAGAGTCAGTTATCACCTTTCATTATTCTAGTTTTGTTTAAAAACTGAAACCCGTTTCTGTTCATCAAAAACATAATTTTAAGTTTTAATCTGAAAATAAAACCTCCAACATCAGAATTCCAGATCTAAGGACGCATCGGGAATGTTTCAGGATCAATCAGCAGAACTTTCTGTTCCGTTTGGATCAAATAAAAAGATCAAGTGTTAATAAACTGCAGCAGATTTAAACCTCCGCCACTTGTTTAATTCTGTTTAAACTGAAACTGGATGTATGGATCCGACCGGGACAAGAACCAGAACCGGGCTCTGGCACCAGAGCGCTTACTCATCAAGTGGCCATGTTTGATTTAAATTAAAAAAGACAGATTTTAGGAAACCATTTTCAATAAATGTTCAACAGTTCAGGATTATTTTTGTACACACAGATAAAAACACACAAATTGTCAGAGCCCAAGTCCCCAAACCAGCCTCTTCCAGCTAGCCGGTCTCCACCCTGGACCACAACTCCCAGCATGCTCCTCGCGAGGATTCCTTCCACGTCACTAACTGCGACTATAGACGGAAGTCGCCTCCCCAGCTCACCACTCAGTCGTCGTTTCTTCAGATCCATGATCAGAGTATCCTACCAACCTACCTATCCGACGAACCGTCTACTCACAGCAAGCTCTATTATTTACCTCTAGAAAACCCAGCATCTCCATGTCACTTCATTGACGCTCGGACGCTCGGGGAATTCCTAGATCACACCGCGAGCCGGTGTATCGCTGACGCTAGCACTTCCGCATCTGTAAAGCCACGCTCGCTACAGCTCAACTCCCTTATCCAGCCGACCAGTCTGACACAAATACTGTCTGATAAAACACATCTACAAACTAAGGCAGAAAACTTTGTGATGACATTTAAAACCATCAGCTGGTGTTAATCTATATCAGCCCCATCAGAGATCAGTAACGGGGTGAACGCTGACTGTTGTTTATTAAACCTGTTCAGGGTTTCCCCCAGCGCTTTATAAGCCTGGCAGCCCACCAGGCTTTGCTTGGCCACCCGCCAGAGTAAGCGTCATGCCCCGCCCCGCCCCCCTCCCCAACCCTACCGTGTCCACTGACACGAACGGCGCAACGAAACTAGAGCCCTTCATCAGCTGACGCTCGTGAGAAACAGCAGCGGAACGTGTGCATTTTTTTTTACTGTGTGGGCGTCGGACGAGCCCCCGCACCGTGAGAACAAACATCTCGGTTCTAAGGCCGATATTCATCCGCATACGTCACACGTCACGTGATCAGGAAGCAGAAAATCCAAGTGTTAGGAGATCGTTTTGGGCCGCTGCTGTAAAAAAAAAGTGAGGCGCGAACCGGAAAAGCTTCTGCCGATCACATTTCAACAACGGATTGTGAAAGAACGGATAACGCTCGAAACGCACGGATTCTTCCTGATGTACGAGGTGAGTCTCCGCTCTGTTTTGGTTGTTTTGGCGTCGACATCATCCTAGCGGGCAACGTTCTGTGACTCTTAAAAAAAACAGTAGAAACGGTGAGAAACGCTGGCAGCGAATGAGTTAATAGGAGCGATGTTTAGAAGTATAATGGTCGGAACCACGAGACTGATCCTGTGATCCGCGTACACCAACTGTCTCCCTACACTGTGATCCTCTACAGATGGTCTGTGGCCTCCACACCATATTAGAGACAAGGAGATCATCATCATCATCATCATCATGGTCAATCAGAAGAAGAAAAACTAAAGTTTTAATATTAGAGATGAAAAGTCGTTAGAACAACCTGAGGATCCAGAACCGGTTCCTGCTCCAGAACCCGGCTGCTTTTGTGCTGGTTTTTATTCAGCTTTGTAGAAGTTGGTTCTGACGGTTTTAATGATGTTCCATGAATGAGGTAAACTCAAACTTTGTATCCTTCAAAATAAGAGTCTGAAACATGTACCTCTGAAAGCCTGTTTTTATTATTTTTGTTGTTTTCTGGTAAAACTCAACCTGCTGGGACTCAGATGTTTACAGGTTCAGATCCAGACGCGAGTTACAGCGAATAAAATAAAAGATCCGTATAAAACCTGATCAGATCTCATTCTTCTCAAATATCTACTTTATTTACTTTACTCTATTTTGACTTAGTTTTGTGTCCTAAGCACCAATATTCTGCTGTACTAGTCTGAATCTGTAAAACAAACAAAAATAAACAAAAGAAAATGCCTCAGGTTGATGTGGGAATAAACATCTAGACTGGGACATCTCTGTTGATCTGGAATTGAACGACGATGGAATGATTCTCGCCGTTTCTGCCTAACGTTGGGGCAGAAAAACGTTTTGGAGGAAATGTGGCATTCGCGCTGAAGTGAGTCAGATCTGATCCCTGGGTTTAAAAGTGTCTGCTTTCATATCAACAACGATGCGACTGCAGAGTACAAACGCTGCAGAGCAACGCAGCAACGCGGGAAATGACTGAGTGAAGCTCAGATTCATGATGACAGGGTGATCTTTAGACGGTTTCACCAGCGGGGGGGAATCCTTCAGATCAACAAATAAACAACGCAGCTTCAGCGGGCCAGCCTTCCTCCTGTCAGCTCCTCTGATCCCCCCCATCAGGACCAAACAACACAAAAACTCCTCCTGGACATCCTCCCCCTTTGTCTTTCAGGCTCTTCTGTCCTCTGCTGTCACGTCCCATTCCTCCCTCTCCATTATACATCTCTTTTCCCACCTCACCTCTCCACCCACCCCTCCATCTTCCTCTTGGATGACTTAACCCTCCAAAATGATTTCACAAACACTCTGCTGCTCCTGGACCAGAGACACCAGACCTCCTCGGTCCGACCCTCAGCCTCCTAAACAGAAATCTGAGTTTTTCCTCTGAAAACTGGGATTTCCAGGAATCTTCACATCATCAGAAGATGTTTTATGCTTTAATCTGATGCCAAAAACAGAGAGGACTGTGATAAACCAGGAGGGAGAGATGGAGGCCACAGTGAGGATGCTCCCACCTCCTCCTCCTTTCTTTATCTCACCTCCAAAAGAAATTAAAGGCTAAAATCAGAGGCCAGAACAATGAGAACAACAAAGGGAGATGAACGCGTTTCTGTCAAGGCCTTCATGGTTCACTCATCTTCCTGCTTCTTGATGAAATGTGATGAAGAAGATGTGGACACAATAAAAGCCTCCTACCTTCTCGTTTCCTCGGTGTTTCTTGGCTGTCGGTGTGTCGTCGTGCTGCCGCCTCCCAACAATAGCTCCCCCGCCGCCTTTCAGCCCAGAGTCCGGTGCGGATTTACCGGCAGCGCCGCCGTTGGCGGTTATGTTGTTGTCTCCGGGGATCCGGGGGTCCGGCCCGGTGCAGGAGCAGGGTCCGGTGCCGTCGCGGCAGAGGCGATGCTCGGGGTGGAAGACGGAGGAGGGAGACGAAGGGCCATCGTCCCCGGGTTTCTCCTTCCTGGTCCGGGCTGCAGGAGCGGCGGGGTCCCGCTCTCTCTTCCAGCCCCGGATCACGTTCTTCCCCTTCCTCTCCTCCTTGCCTTTGGCGCGTGACGCAGGAGCCGCGGTCCCCTCGGAGATGCCGTTGTTGTTGTTTCCGCAGCCGTCTGCATCCCTGCCGACGGCTGAAATCATCTCCACACCTTCTCCACCGACGCTAAGTCCTTGAGGCTTACCGAGCCCCCCAACCCGCCTCACCGCCGCCTCGCACCGAGACAGCCGCCGATGAACGATCCGCCGGTTCCCTGGGTCCGACCCGGCAGGCTCGGCTGCGTTTCAGCGCGGATCTCCCCAGCTCCGACCCGCCAGGTCCCCGGGTCTGGAGCGAGGACAGGGCCGCGTGTGTGTCGGCTGCTGGAGGAGGAGGTGATGGAGATGGAGGAAGAGGAAGAGGAGGAGGAGGAGTGGTTGGGTGACAGCTCCCTGCAGTCCGTCAGCAGCTCTCCATCCTCCTCAGAAATCGTTTCATCTCCTTCTCTGCTCCACTCCTTGTCTCCTTTATTGATCTTCACACGATCCGAAGTCAGGTAGGAGACACATCTGGTTCTGACAGGGTCCGGGATCAAGATCAGTGTCTGAGAGGGTCCGAGATCGGGTCTGACAGGATCAGGGATCAAGTTCTAGGAGGGTCCAGGTCATCAGAATAAGAGAATCCAGGATCAAGATGAGAGGATCAGGATATGGGATGATCAGGATCCAGGATCAGGATCTGAGAGGATCCAGGATCAGGGCGAACAGCTCAATAAAACAAATAAAACTTAATCCATACCATGGATTATTATGCATAATAATCCGGTTTATTAGCTGGTTAACTGTCTGACAGATCAGTACTAAAAGTTCATTTATGGCTTTTAAACTAAACTATATTTAACAATATTTTTGTTTATTGTCTCAGATTTTACTAATAACCAACTAAACATGGCAAACTAAATGCGCCAAACGGTCACAAGGGGGCGCAGTCATGACAAGTGGCTTTCAATGGACACTGGATGGAAAGTGGACTTGTCATACAAAAGTTTAGTTAGATGAAGAATGATTTTATTTTTCGTCGTCGTCGTCTTCCTCCGCTTATCCGGGTCCGGGTCGCGGGGGCAGCATCCCAACTAGGGAGCTCCAGACCATCCTCTCCCCGGCCACCTCCACCATGCTCCTCCGGCAGGACGCAAGGCGTTCCCGGACCAGATTGGAGATGTAACCTCTCCAACGTGTCCTGGGTCGACCCGGGGGCCTCCTGCCGGCAGGACATGCCCGAAACACCTCCCCGGGGAGGCGTCCAGGAGGCATCCTGACCAGATGCCCAAACCACCTCAACTGACTCCTTTCGATCCGGAGGAGCAGCGGTTCTACTCCGAGTCCCTCCCGAATGTCCGAGCTCCTCACCCTATCTCTAAGGCTGAGCCCGGCCACCCTACGGAGGAAACTCATTTCGGCCGCTTGTATCCGCGATCTCGTTCTTTCGGTCATTACCCAAAGCTCATGACCATAGGTGAGGATTGGGACGTAGATCGACCGGTAAATCGAGAGCCTGGCTTTCTGGCTCAGCTCCCTCTTCACCACGACAGATCGGCTCAGCGTCCGCATCACTGCAGACGCCGAACCAATCCGCCTGTCGATCTCCCGATCCCTCCTACCCTCACTCGTGAACAAGACCCCGAGATACTTAAACTCCTCCACATGAGATAGGACCTCTCCCCGGATTTTTTTCTTCTTCAACAAAATACACAATTTTAGTGTTACGGTTAGGTTTTCTTCTCTGTGTTCCTCCCCCAACAACAAAAAGACATTTCCTGTCATAACAGTTTTACACAACTGGCTTTTTTCGTTTTCCCTCTGAGACTTGGGAGAATGTCAATCTCCTTGATATGGAACAAATAAAAGCTTCATTCACGCATCACCCACATACTTAATCTGAGGATAAAATACCACGTATGGGAAAATTACAGGCATAATAAATTAAACTTACGGCTGATTTGTTACTAAAATGTTAATTTTCTGTTGAATCTGAAGAGCTGCAGCTCTGAAGTTAACAATTTTATCGTTTCAGTCTCCAAACTGCCTAAAAGACAACTACTGGCTAGCCATGCTAATGGAAAACTAGCCTTAAAGGCCCCATGTGTGTGAGCCATTGAAATCATGATAAAAAATGTGACTCTTTAGCGCCGTGCAGGTCAGAGAAAGTATTGCAGCTACGGTGGCCCACTCATGGGTTTGACTGTATAATGGATTTTGAACCTGTGTAGCCTAACCCACACAAAGCTTAAAACAAGCTACTCGACCTCTTTAAAGGGACTACGGAGTTTTGCATTTTTATGCTCGCGATTGCCCCCTCAGGCCAAAAGCGTAACGGCAGCTTCAATAGTAGGCTCGTGCACGAGGCGCGCATGCTGTACGTGCACACTCCTTAACGAAAATAACAGCTGAGACAGTCCCATGTGTGTGTGTATGTGTGCGTGTGTGGCCTGGAGGACAGAGGACAGGAGAACACGCAGCTAATTAATTAAATAATGTGGTTCTGTACCTTTCTCTTCAGCACAGCCGACAAAGGTTTATGATGGGTCAGTCCTCCTGCATGCTCAGATCATTCCCTTCCCTTGCTTGAAAAATTGTTCCAAAATGAAAGTTGAACCCACATCTTTTTTATCTGTGAATTCAATGCCGTTCGGCGAGTCTCAAATAAAAATTTGGGCATCTTACTGTAAAAAAAATACACCAATAATGTAAAAAATAAACTCTAAATAAACTATGTTCACATCCAGAATCGAACCTGGGCCTCCTGCACGAGAGTCCAACGTCTTACTAGGTGAGCTAAAGCACCAGTGACATCTTTTGAATCTGTAACATTTATATCCTTGATTGCAGCTGAAACAACGTTCAAAGAACGGTCCGGAGTGAAAATGGCTATTTTGTTGCTAATTTGCAGGAAATATCTAGAAGAAAGTTCTACAGAAAGTAGCTAAGGGTCCTCAGAAATGTAGCTAGCTTTGTCACTAGGCGTTAGGAACAGCGACAAAGTGGCACTGCCTCTGTCTCTGCTGCTAAAGCTACGGATAGCAAATGCTACGGGCGATGCCTGAGCGTGAACGTGCATGAAGCAGCCTGCTCGACCCGAGCAGCTCTCTTTTTCTGTGATTTTACAGAAAAACAGGCAATCACAGTAAAAATGCCAGGGCTCATTCTACAGGACCAGGGCATTGCAGGAGAATGTATGAAGAAGACATTTATTATTTCTATACATGTTTTGGCTGTCACACTTCCATAATGCCCCTTTAAAAAAGCATTTATAATTATGACTGTTCATCAACCTACCAGTTCTGAAGGAAGCAAGCTAGTTTTGTTAGATCTGGAAGCTGTCACAACTCACTCACTGAGGAGGGGTGACGTCAGCCAGGAGGTCAGGTGTTGTGATAATTTGGGTTTCCATGAAATATTCTGTCCCCCCTGTGTCGGGGGATCACACTTCAGGCTATTTTCACAACATTTGTGATAAACTTTTATGGTAAAATGATGTAATAATGTCATGCTTGTGACTTTTTTATCTGTATTTCCTCCTAAAAACAATAAAAAACATACAGTAAAAACAATCTTGTTCACTCTTTTTTTCAGCAAACTTATTTATCATTTATAAAAGTTATGTAAAATGATGTAACCTCACTCAATTTCACATCTTTTATTTGAGGTAGTTCAGTCCTCATAAAGGACAATAAGTTCTGTGGATTTGGAAATATTTGCTCTTGACTGCCTAAGGCAGGGGTCGGCAACCTGTTCCCATCAATGAGCCATTACTACCCGTTTCCCACAGTAAAGAAAACACTGGGAGCCAAAGCAGCCGCGGCGTTGTGGGTGGGGCCTACCCTCAGACAGCAGAGAGCTGCTTTAACCAATCACAACAGGTGACAGCAGCTGGTACCCGTCGCTCGTGTACATCAAAGTTATCTTTCATAAGACGATAATCAATAAAACGATTTATATAAAGTGGATCCAGAAGTTGTAGCCCGTCTCTGCCGACAATATTGTGATATTTTTCACCCTGTTGGTGGTTTTACTGAGCAGGTGCCACTTTTGTCATACGTTTCTTTTTAAAACATGTTCAGACTGTTCAGAATACAAATCCAGGCTCTGTCACGTTTGATTGTTGTAATTAAACTTTGTAGGTGGGGAAGGTCAGAAAAGGATCTGATCAATTTGTTTTTCCCTCGTTTACAGTGACGGAGATAACGGTGCAGTGCGCCTGGCTCTGGTGGTAATCAAGTTAAATTATATCTCTTTGCAATAATTTTCACAAGAATACAGAACAGGCAAGCAGGGCTTGTGTTGACCGGACAGTTCTCGTATTTGACCGTTTATTTTGACGGAGAAAGAATAGAAAGAATTACTCCGACGCAAGCAGACGAACTGACACTTTATTCGTTACGCACATTGCAGATGTAGCTAAATCACTCAAGAAAAGATTTCCTTCTGAACATCTGAGCTTGACACTGAGCTCAGCGCAGCTCACTGTCAGCGCGTACGTACGGCGCACAGCGAGCTGAAGATGTGGAGAGGGGCTTGGAGCACGTCGCAGAACCAGAGCGCATGCGGGAAGATTCCTCCGACTGAAGCGAGACTTGCCGCTTAGAAAATGTTCCCTGATTATGAAACTTTGGCTGAATAGCGCTTGTTCCTGTCTCCAATGTGGCGACACATCCAGGATCTGAGGAGAATCCCAGAATCTCACATCGTCTTCAGCTCAGAATGCGCCTATGATCACGCACAAGCGTGACGCGTCAACCCGGTCTCACAGTAAGACTGGGTTGGAACTGTTCAGGTTTATGCAGACAATCCTTACATTTAGAATTGGCATACAGATGTAAAATTAATGCAGTAAAATATAAAGCATTTTATTTAAATATCCTTTCATTATTATACAAGCACAGAGAGCCGCATCCGATGGATGGAAGAGTCGCATGCGGCTCCAGAGCCGCGGGTTGCCGACCCCCGGCCTAAGGGAAACAGAATATTTCAGGGGAACATAATTTCCCACAGCACCAGTTTCACGTGGATCGTGGTGCGCTCGATGTAAACAAAGTGGCTGCCGCTACAATCGATCACTGGTTGCTCGTTAGCCACAGCTGGTGAATGAGGGTTGGTGAGCCGGGGACACGCCACAGATCAAGTAAACAATGCTGACTCATCCACCAGCTAACCATGGCTCACAGCTGGCGTGGTGGAGATGGATGTCACAAGCTACTAGTTAGCCATGGCTAGAGCCGGGGAGACGCTGTGTATGCTGCGTGTAAACTCCCACGGATTACCAGCAAAAGGAGACCCAAACCTAAAGGTAACGTTTGAGAAGAAGCCCTCTGAGTCGGAGCGTCTGTGTAACGCGTGGAGAACTACATCGCTGTTAGTAGTGTTGTGGAGATACAGTAAACAAACACTGATTTAGCCACTGGCTAGCAGACGAGCGCTGGAACGTGTTGGGCGAGACGGCAGGCTGCAGGAAGAGAGGAGACTTGAGTAGAAGGACTTTGGAACGGACACAATGGGACCGGATCGGGAGTTCTGGTACTGACTAGGGTTGTCACGGTAACCAGTGTAGCGGTAAACCCCGGTAAAAAAGTTCACAATAATAAAAACCGTCTTGTTTTTTAAAAATATATTATCTCGGTGGGTTACCGTGGCTGCGGTGTAGGCGCGGTGACCCTTACCAGCCACCGTATCATCTGCTGAAGTTGCCGGCGGCACTTTCGCACTTTGTTGTTTACAACCAAAACTTTCTTGAAGCTAAAGCTGAAATAACGGCCAAAGGAGGAAACGGCAGCACTCAGGACATTTATTATCCCTCAAAGAAGACAAAGTGGGAAGTACGGGCATCTTTTGGATATCTGAAGAATGCCGAGAGACAGTTGATAGAAGACGGCTATCCTGTTTGCAGCACGTGCAGAAAAAGTCTGTGAAAGGCAGCAACGCTTCAAATCTCATGACACATCTGCGTGACCATCACCCACAACTCTACAGTCAACGCAAGGCAAGCTAAAGTTAGCGTTTTAGCTAAAATGCGTGATCCGAGGATTTGGGTTGAGGGAGAATGCAACGAGTCGCTATATAAAGCAGCCGCAGCGCCGCTACCTGCATATAAACCGTGTTGCGGACACCCCCATGTTGAAATGACGCTATGCATTACGGGGCTCCCAGGGGCAGATAAGAGTTGGTCTCTCTCCGAGAATAATTATGAATTTAACAACGATTACTGCCTGATGACATTTTCCCACATCTGCAAAGCTCACTGGAAGGACACAAACTGAGGACAATATTTTCCTGATATAGGGTTTATTACTCAAGTAAGGGTAAAAAAAAGTATCTGATTAGAAGGCTACTTGAGTACTGAGTATCATCTGATGTAATACTTTTAAAATGATGACATCAAACAGACAAAAAATTGAAGTTATGGGCAAATATTGGTATTTTAAAGACTAAAGGGGACAAATGTAAACAAACAAACAACATAATTACAAAATAACACATTTTAGACAAAATTTAGACACAAACTGAGGACAATATTTTCCTGATGTACAGGATTTATTTTGTTGTCTGAAAATGTAGCACGTTTAAAAAATACCGCGATAATACCGAAAACCGTGATAATTTTGGTCATAATAACCGTGAGGTTAAATTTTCACACCGTCACAACCCTAGTACTGACACGCTGGGACCGGGTCGGGAGTTCTGGTACTAAGAAAAGATGAATGAACAACTTGAGGTGAGTTTGGGAGTCAGAGACACTAGAAGGCTGGCATTCAGCTAATAGCGGACGGGGGTCTGAACATATGTGGCGTCCTTGTGTTGGACATGATGACGAACTGACAAGTTTTATGTGTTTTTAATTTAATTGTTTATTATACAAACTAACAAGTACAGCAACGGTGTAGCTATTCTTTTCTATTTCTTAGTTGAAATAGCAGACTTGCTTTCAGGGCGCACTGCTGCCCTCTGCTGGTTCTTTCAGGTTACAGTCACAGTCCAAACGGGTAACGTGGAGCTCGTGTGTCCCTAAACAGCTACTGTATTTTAAGATGGTGGATGACCATAGAGCATCGGCCACAGTTTATGTATATAAAAATGTATAATTTCAAGTTGAAAAGAATATTTAGAATCGATGCTGGTGAGAAATATTAGAGAAAAAGCACAAGTTTGTGAACTGGAAACAGGATTTGATAGTAAACTGGTAAAAAAAAATATCACACACTGTGCCTTTAAGTCTGCTATTGAATATAACAACGTTACAACATTTAAGACAAAAATGAACTTTCCTCTAAAAAAACTTTTACTGGAATATATATTTTGTTGTGATTTGAAGAATTAGGGAGCTCCAGGTGTACAGCAGTGATGTAATTAGCATTAGGCTAACAGTAAAGCAAAGAACACATAATTAAACAAAACCAGCATAATTAATAAACAGTGCGCCCCAGGGCTAGCAGTGGCTACATGGTAGCTCATCACCATCAGTGTGTGAATGTGTGTGTGAATGGATGAATGAGACACTTGTAGTGTAAAGCGCTTTGGAGTCCTTACTCTGAGAGGTGCTATACAAGTGCGGGCCATTTATAATTTATCATTTAAACACCTGATAATTCTTACTTGAGAAGTTGTTGTATGTTAGTTTCTCCTTGTTTGGTCCAGTTTAACTTCCCTCGTTTGACTCTAGCTGTCAAGGCTAACGAAAACGGTAAACCCTCGGTTTAAGCTAGCTCTGGTTCACTAACCCCTTTCACGCAAACTACTGCTTCTAGGTCAGCACACGAGGCCTTGCGACAACTTAAAAGCTGACAAAACCGACCTGGAATCAGTGTAAACGACGCACGTGCACCTTGCTCTCGCCAGTCATGAACATTAGCCAATCACAGCAGAGTATGATGTTTTTGATCCCACAGGAAGTCAGTAACGTAATCCAGGATTCGGATTTACTTCAGAAAATGTTTGTTTTATTATGATTGTTTATTCAAACGTTAATGGTTTCAGTTTTATATTATTTTATGCTTCAGAGATTGACCAAAAATCTCACCTGAACAAAATCCAGAGGTTTCGCTCTGATGCGATGAGAGATTTTGTCCATCAGAGGGCAGAGTTTATCCATTTTACTCAGAGCCCACTGAGCCTCAGGCACTTTTGTTAGCTTTAAGTGATGTATAGATGTTTTCAGTGCTTTGCTTCACAGAAAATACAAACAAATATTAAACACAGTTTTTTGCAAACAAACAAAATGCATGCAGAGTAAAGTGCTGGACGCAGCCTCACTGATCTTTTCCTGTGGATATTTACCCACTAAATATGTTTTCTACTACTTCTTGATAAAAGTGCACACATTCTCAGAGCAATCTTGTTAAGATAAAATAATTTGTTTTAGAAATCATCCATCCATTGTTTTCTGCTTATCTGGAGTCGAGTTGCAGGGGCAGCAGCCTAAATAGATAGGCCAAAAATTCCCTCTTCCCAGGCACTTAGGAATTCCAAGGCATTCCCAGACCAGACGGGAAGCACAACACCTCCAGCGTGTCCTGGGTCTTCCTTTGGGTCTCCTCCCGGTTGGACGTGCCCGTATCCAGGAGACATCCAAACCAGATCCTTTACCTGAACTGACTCCTCTCCAGTGTTTTTAGAGGTGATGTTCTTAAACAGACACTACTGTTTTTACATGTCAATAAAAACGGAAATACTTTTTCAAGCAGCAAACTGACCTGATTATTCTTGAGATTTTTCCGATTCACATAGAAGGTTTTTCTAAACATAATAATTGTTTTATTATTTTTGCTGAGTTAATTTTCTAACTATTTAAACAGTTTTACACAAAACAGACACGATGCTTGGATAAAATTTTAGAATCATATTTCTAAACATGATCCAAACTGTGGAAGTACTGTATTTTGCTGAAATATTTGATTATACAAGTGAATAAATAATGTTAACAATTCCTGATTATTTGTATGATTCTTTGTGGAAATGAAATTGATCACAAAAAATGTAATGTGATGATTGGTGATTTTTACAAACAGAAAAACTGAAATACTTTTTGTATGATTTTATTGGTTGTGTTGTGGTTAAACTAGCAATATATTTCTTTTTGAAATATGAACCTGCGCAATTTCTATATGAAATAATAAATTATCACCCCAAAAGACAGACTTTTTCCTAAAAATATGTTGATTTCAAATAAAATATTTCTGCTGCCTTTGCTGCCCTCTAGCGGACAAATTAGTTCCTTCAGCTGGTACACTGATGCTGCCTTTACGGCACCACAAGAAAACAGATAAACAATAGAGCTTTACCGATTTTCTGCAGTTTTGAACAGATTTATAGAAGAACTATTTGTTTTTATGAAATATCCGCTAAACCTTGGCTGGCGTTTGTGTTGGATAAGTAACCGTTGATGTCTGAAGTATCCGCGCCCTAGGTTAAAGTCGCTCCCCGGGTCTGGTTCCGGGATTTACCAGAGACGTGAACGCACCACCCGAACCAGACTCCCTTATATTGTTAACGTTGATTTCTCCGGTTCAAGCAGCAGCAGCATTTTGTCTTGTCGTGAACCGATCCTGGGTCACAGCCGCCCACTGAACGCATGAAATCTCGGCTACGCTCACACCGGTGGACCGTAAGCTACTTTTAAGCGTTTTCCTCTCATTTGTGTGAGTTTTAGGGTGAAGAAAGCTGCGGAATCGGT